AGTTTTGAAACCCATCTTGCCAATTTTCTGCCTTTGTAATATTTGGATAAACTGCAGAATTTAGGCTTTCTTTGTCTAGAAGCTAGGTTTCACTGCTGAAGAACTTAACAAAATTTTTAAATCGAAACAACATTTAGACAAGGAAGTGTGAACATTGAGCCAGAATCATCAGTTGTTCAGAAAAAGGAATTTTATAGTAACTGGTTTAATTAGGGGACTTGTTAAAGCCTACTAGTGCTTTTCATAGCAAAATTGTGATATGGCAGAATATTTCATCAGTCAGTGGCGTCAACAGAGCAGCGTCTGCTGATGTTATTAGCTGTATATGGTCTCCTAGCTCCTTTAACCCCTCCTATAGACATACTTTTTATAGTGTTCTTCTAAGGTTCATAAATTGAGCTAATTAAACCTCTTTTTAAACCCCCATTTACTTCTACCAAGAAATCGATAGTTCTTACCACAGCAACCCTTCTCTTTTTGATGCCCAGTCAATTCCCTCATCTGACCAAGGAACAGGGAATATAAAGCACTAGCCCCTTTACAAGCTACAAATATTGTAAAATTATATTATCCTTTCTCTTACTTGTTATTGCACTTATTTGAAAATAAGAACCACAAAGAGGTTATTCAGCTGCTGAAGGAAGCATTACTTCTACCACCATTCTACAAGCCACGTTCAGTTTAGAGAGAGAGAGAATGAGACCGTGCTATTTATGCTTTATCAGATTCTTGCACTGAAGGAGAAAATAGGAAGCAGCTTCCTACTGTAATTCTATTCAGGATTCCTCTTGGCTAGAACAGGCAATAGAGCTATGCAGCATTTCAGATTTGAAACCAAAACGGCACTTCAGGATGTGCTTGGTTAAAGGAACTGTAGGCAAGTGGTCCATACAAATGTCCAAAGGTGCTTCTAAGGCTTGAGGATTGTTTTTCACACCCCCATCCCTGGTGAAGTCAGAAAGCGTATTCAATGACTCACAAATAATCCAAATGCTTGAACAGCATAGGTGAGATGAGATGAAAGAGGAGGGAGGGGGTTTCTGGATGCGGCCCTTGTTCTACCTCAATACCAACAAAGAGGAAAAATAACAGCTCTCAAAAGAAACCAGCATGGCTGCATAAAGAACTCTCTGACAAATTGAAAGATAAAAAGGACAAGTATAGAAAGTGGAAAGAGGGGCACATAACTAAATCAGAATATCAACAAATAGCCCGAGCCTGCAAAGATGAAGTGAGGAAAGTCAAGGCTCAAAATGAACTAAGGCTTGCGACCAAAGTCAAAAATAACAAAAAAAGCTTATTTCAACATGTAAAAAACAAGAAAAAGTGAAGGAAACGATTGGTCCATTAGTGGGTGAAAGTGGCAAGAAGGTGACTAGCAATAGGGAGAAAGCAGAACTATTTAACCCGTTTTTTGCATCTGTCTTTACACAAAGGGAAAAAACAGACCAACCTATCAAAAATAGTGCCATTAAAAAACAGTATAGAAACACAAGTTAATATAGGCAAGAAAATGATAAGTGAGCACCTGTCCAGCCTAGACGAGTTAAAATCACCAGGACCAGATGGATTATACCCTAGGGTTCTCAAGGAACTTGCAGATGTGATCTCAGAACCACTGAACTATATTTTTCAAAGATCTTGGAGCACTGGGGAACTACCAGAGGACTGGAAAAGAGCTGATGTAGTTCCCATCTTCAAAAAAGGAAAAAAAAATGGATTCAGGAAATTACAGACCTATCAGCCTGACCTCAATACCTGGGAAGATTCTGGAAAAGATAATCAAACAACGAATCAGCGAACACCTAGAGGCAAACAAAGTCATTACCAAAAGCCAACATAGGTTTGTCAAAAACAGATCATGCCAGACAAACCTTATTACATTCTTTGACCAAGTGACAAAATTAGTGGATCAGAGGAATGCTGTGGATATAATTTACTTGGACTCCAGTAAGGCATTTGATAAAGTAGATCACAACCTACTACTCGATAAGGTAGAAAAATGTGGGTTAGACAGCATCACCACCAGATGGATTCGTAGCTGGCTGACTGGCCGTACTCAGCGTGTGGTCCTCAATGGAACTGCATCTACATGGAGGGAAGTGTGTAGTGGGGTGCCCCAGGGCTCTGTTCTAGGCCCAGTGCTCTTCAACATCTTCATCAATGATTTGGACGAGGGGATAGATGGGGAACTCATCAAATTTGCAGATGACACCAAGCTGGCAGGAATAGCCAACATTCCAGAAGACAGGCTTAAGATACAGGAGGACCTGGACAGACTTGAACACTGGGCGCTATCTAACAAAATGAAATTCAGTGGTGAAAAAAGTAAGATTCTACATTTAGGCAAGAAAAACCAAATGTACAGGTATAGTATAGGGGGTACCTTGCTCAATAGTAGTAACTGTAAGAGGGATCTCGGAGTCCTAGTGGACAATCACTTAAATATGAGCCAGCAGTGTGCTGCAGCTGCCAAAAAGGCCAACACAGTGCTGGGCTGCATTAACAGAGGGATAGAATTTGGTTTTTAAATAACTTTTAAAAAAAGAAAAGGCCTATATTAATATTTCATTTTAACCACTTTTTAAATTTTGTATATTGTATTAGCTATTCTGTTTTAAACTGGCTGTAAGCCGCCCTGAGTCCACTAGGAGAAGGGCGGGGTATAAATGTGATTAAAGTTAAAGTTAAAAGAATCAAGATCATGTGAAGTATTAATACCACTTTACAATGCCTTAGTAAGGCCACACTTGGAATACTGCATCCAGTTTTGGTCACCACAATGTAAAAAAGATGCTGAGACTCTAGAAAGAGTACAGAGAAGAGCAACAAAGATGATTAGGGGACTGGAGGCTAAAACATATAAGGAACAGTTGCTGGAATTGGGTATATCTAGTTTAACGAAGAGAAGGGCGAGGGGGGACATGATAGCAGTGTTCCAATATCTTAGGGGCTGCCACAAAGAAGAGGGAGTCAAGCTATTCTCCAAGGCGCCTGAAGGCAGGATGAGAAGCAACGGATGGAAACTGATCAAGGAGAGAAGCAACTTAGAACTAAGGAGAAACTTCCTGACAGTTAGAACAATTAACCAATGGAACAACCTGCCTCCAGAAGCGGTGAATGCTCCAACACTGGAAGTTTTTAAGAAGAGACTGGACAGCCATTTGTCTGAAATGGTGTAGGGTTCCTGCCTGAGCAGAGGGTTGGACTCGATGACCTCCAGGGTCCCTTCCAACTTTATGATGATTATTGTTATTGTTGTTGTTGTTTTGTTGTTATTATTTTTTATTATTATTATTTATTATTATTAAATGTCATAGGAATAAGAAAGTCGGTGTTGAAATAAAACCTTCTGTCTCGGCCTCCCTCAAATTCTAAAAATCCTTGCCCAGCACAAAGCTTTTGAGCTGATTCAGAAACACAGACTTGCTTTTGCTAAAGTGTTCCCCAGCCTACTATTTGAAAAAGAGAGAAAATGGGCATTTTTCCTCTGTGGCAAACAGGAGCCCTGATTGTCCTTTTTAGGAGCAAATGGTTAATGTCAGATAACACCCATCCACTATTTTTAAATTTTGCATAAGAGCGTGCACACAAATAATATGTGCCATATTTTGAAGTTTTAATTGGTAGCAGAAAATAACTATTCTCTTTAGAACATTTTAGAAGACACAAATATACTGTGTTTCCCTGAAAATAAGACCCAGTCTTATATTTTTTTTCCTCCAAAAGAGGCAGTAGGTCTTACTTTCGGGGGATGTCTTTTCCACTATCGTGCCTCACAGCAGCGGCACCAACAGCCCCGTCCAGAAGGACCCCACGTAGCTATCAATGGCCCACTTCTTCTATGGCTGCTCGTCGCCCCCGGCCTCCATTTTGCCAGGAGAGGCCTTCAGGAAAGAATGGAGCTCCCAGATGACGCATGTGTCGCGCCCCAGCCTCTGTTTTGCCGGCAGAGGCCTTCAGGAAATATACATGCATAAACAAAACTAAGTCATAGCATTTAAAAGACAGATTTAGTACAGGATAAACACTTATGAATTAAATGCTCAAAGCTACATTAAAAAAAACCCATATTCACATTTTACATTTCACACTTTGCTAAATATATCATATTAGTCGAGTTAATTCATGAACGAAGCCATAAACCAAGCAAATCCCATTATGACATTGTGGTATATGCACTTAGCCAGATAAAATATATTGTTTCTGAAACAAAAATCCCAAACACATAACTTTTGCATTTCAGAAATCATCTTGAAATCAATAGCCAAAAAATGTTACACAAAAGCTCAAAATAGCTTTTGAAATTATTCATATTTTAGCTGCTGTTAGAAAATAAAAGTTATTATTTTGTAATTACAGGTATACTAGAAAAACATCAGAAATTTGAATATCCACCCTCTGAGTAAAGATGGTAAATAATAGTTGCAGCTGCTTTTATTCTTTACTTGATCACCAATAGAAAAGGGGAACAAAATCATTAAATAACATACTGTAACTGTTAAAAGTAGTATAAAACATGCAAACAAAAGCCTCAACAGTTTTATCATCTCTCCATTACTATCCTTATAGCAATTATTCATTTGATTGCTACAAGTCAATTTTTGCTGAGGCAAGTCAATCTATGTGAATGTAAGGATACAAACAGACCTTTGTTCTGCAAAATATCAACATAAATTACCCAAATTGATGCCTTCCAGTTGTGGTGAAATTGCAATTCCTGGAAATACCAGCCAGTGTAACCACTGGACATGCTGACTGCCAATCTGGGAGTAGCAATTTGGGAGTAGGTAGAGGGCACCAGGTTGATGACTTCTACTTCATCACAAGGAGCAGTAGTATCACTTTGCTCACAGTCCATTTTATTGGTAACTGGGAAAATATGTTCCTTATTTAATTTAAAAATAGCTATCAAGTGCCCATGGGGCAAGATGAGTCCTACAACGAAGTCACAGGTTTCAGCCTCAGAGTGGTAACATCTCTTTTTATGTCTCCTTCAGGATCACATCAGAGAAAAGCCTTTGTATGGTGAAAATAAGGCACTTGTTCGGCATGTGAGGGAATGTGCATGTGTGAAAAGTCCACCTGGGTTGTAGGTAATCTTTAGCTTGCCTGTGTGTCTTCTCCCCATCTTATTTATTTGGCTCATAGTTACAACTCTTTGACATCAACTGCATTATAAAAGTTTATGGTGTTGTGTATATGCATGTGTGCGTGCACTTTCGAATCAGTCTTGACTCTCAACAACTGCCTAGAATAGTTTCTGCAGCTCTCTTGGCAAGAAGTGGTTTGCCATTGCAAGCTTCCTAGGGCTTAGGCAAAGTGACTGGCCCAAAATCACTCAGGTACCTTTGTGCTTAAGGTAGGATTAGAATTCATGCTCTCCTCGTTTCTAGCTTTGTACCTTACAGTAACTACTACACCAATCTGACTCTTTGCTGTAGTCGCCCAAACATGTTATAGTAAAATTATGTACAGCAGTATTCTTAATCACACATCATTTCATGGATCTGGTTCACAAGTCTTTCTGTGGTGAACCATTTTTATTCTGAAGGGGCATACCCAACAAGAAAAATAGTTACTACCCAAGGAGGAAATGAATGTTACCAAAACAATAAAATCATGGATCACATCTAAATTTAAATCCAGAAGAAAAGCCTTTTCTGCCATCGCTCCTGCCCACTGAACATCTTCACAGATGAAGAGATATACATTATATAACAGTGATGGCGAACCTATGGCAAGTGTGCCAGAAGCAGCACTCAGAGCCCTCTCTGTGGGCACGCGCGCCGTTGCCCCAGCCCCGCCTCCCATGGCCCCCTCCTCACCAGCAGCCCCACGGAGGAGAGTCGTCCCCAGGTACGGGCTGCGCAGAGCAGTGCAGCCAAGGACATGGCAGGCGGGACAGATTCTGCCCTATGCTCTGTCACGCACAGATGATGCTCCGGGGCACAGGCGGAGGGCATCGTCACCATGGTGTTGCAGGGCTGCCTGGGCAATTTGCTGTAGGCTGAGGAGGCGGTGGGTGGCCCTGTGGGTGGATGGGGAGCAGGGGTGGGCCGGGGGCGGGACAGTTTTGGGGCACTCGGTCTCTAAAAGGTTCGCCATCACTGTTATGTAACATTCACCAACTTGGAATTAAATTTCAGTGAGCCCAATAAGGATTTGTTTTCATATTAGTTCTGCAATATATGACAAAATTATACTATTTACACATACACATTTGTGCTGCAATAGGTTTTCCAGAAATTTCATAAATGTAGCCATATTAATGGGACACAGTCTAAATCAATGTTTTTCAACATTGGCAACTTTAAGATGGATGGACTTCAACTCCCTAAATTCCCTACCCAGCATGGTTGACTGGGGAATTCTGGAACTTGAAGTTCTCCCATCTTAAAGTTGTCAAATTCGAAAATGCTGGTTATGTGCTGCCCCGCCAAATCTTGAATATTGAAAAGATATTCAAACTTTAATCAAGTCACAGAATATATTACCTCATCTATAGTCACTCATCTTGTATTATCTAAAAACTCATGCCATGCTTCCTACATTTGTATATGCCTTATTTTTTAAAATGAGACAAGCCATGGTAAAAAAGAATGCACATAAAGAGTGGAGCTACATAAGCAAAATACAGAATAAAAGTAGGTGGGCGAGTGGGCATAGACAAAAAATCTCCCAAAAAATAAGTAGTGATATGTAAACCTGTTGTGAAAATAGCTAAGTCCATGGTGACTGATTTTAAAAAAAATACTTGAATTCATGTTTCACAGAGAACGCATTAAAACAAGGTAGACAGTAGATTCCAGCTGTTCTCCTTCAATGTTGACTGTTTATAGATTTTTTTTTTAAGTTTACAATGACATTCCAAAAAGAGATACAAAGAAAATTTACCACTGAAGCCTTTTGACCTCTGCTGTTCTCTACCATTTTGCTCTTCCCTACTTTGGTAGAGTCTCAATACAAGACCAAGACCATCAGCATCTGCATAAGCAGCCAACAGATGTGCACAGCTTACATTGCTGGCCCTTCAGCTTTCTTGCTATTGGAAATATGCCCCACTGACAAATTAGATAAATGTAGATCAAGGGATCTATATCCTATGCAGCTCAACTGATCAAATCATAGATTCCATTATACAACTCTACTCTCCTTTGGACACAAGGAGGAAAGTGGTGTCTCCAGCTGAGCCTATTTGGAGGCTGCATCTTTGTACAACAGCCTTGACTAACAGACAACATCAAAACCTTTGTCCTGTCAGCATTCATCCCATCTCCTGTACCAGGGAAGACTGGAAAAGCCAAATGTTTTTCAAATTTTAAAAGGACACAATTCATAATCAACCCACTTCAAACTCCTCTAAAGCTACTGGTGTGCAAAACTTTGCTGGCATTGCTGACTTCTTCAGCAGGCCCATCCAGTCACTAATTGAAAAACCCTTCTTTAAAAAAAGAATCCACGTGATCCCACCCAAGATGTGTTTTTCTAACAAAGGGCCCGCTACAGCACCGAGACGGGCACTTCACACTGAAGGCCCAAGCCACGCCCCCCCAAAAGTAGGCCCGTTTCACATTTGTTGTTGAGGTATGTGGAACACAATGGAGGAATACCCAAGGCTAGCAGGGCCCTATAGAGAACTTCACATGGTAGTGCCTGTAATGTGCCTCTCGAACGGGCATAGATTTGCTGCTGGCAGGGAGGGGGAGAGAAAGAGAGAACGCTGTTTATAAAAAGATTTTTCATGTGGCTCTTAAACCAAGGAGAGAGAAGACGACAAGCTTGTGAAATCGCTCTCAATTAAATATGTCAGTTCGACATCATCACTCCAATCAAGATCCTAGTGGTGTTCTCCATCTGGTTTTTAAGAGCAGTGTTCCTAGCAGTCATTTTTCAGATTTTTCATAGAAGGATGATCTACAGGGTGTGAGGTGGGGGAGTTGGTAATATAGTTCTCCAGAAGAAGCAAGATGTCGTAGGGCTCCAAAATACTTGTGAAAATCAGCTCTCCCTCCCTCTGGGACACGAAGCAGACTCCAAAGGCCTGCCTATTTCTGCTCCCGAGTTAAAATGCAAACCTGTCCTTCATTTGGGGGGAAACTACTGGCATAACATGTGCCGTCCCCATTGTCTTTGTTTTGGCTTGCCACCAAGTGGCGGTGTCCTGATTTTATATGTGAAGGAAAAGTGTCAGGCAAAGCTGTTGGTTTTGCTGTCCTCCCACGTTATGTTTGTCACCAGCCAGCCGGATACCATCTGCCACCAATTACAACAGTGATGTAGGTACAGGAAGGGGGCTTGGGGAGGTGGTCAGTTTTGACAGACGGGTCATCTGGCCCACTTTATTGAGCACACTAAACAGGAGCATGCATCGGTTGAAACAAGGAGCTGAGTGATAAGGCAGGCGAGTCCGCTGTCTCAAAACCTTGGCAGCCCCCCTTCCTTCCGCCTGCCAAACAGCTGTTGGCTCTCTCAAAGCGGGCAAGTTGCCTGATTTAATGTGAAGCTCCCCAAGTTGTTTGGTGAACATTTTTTTGAGAGGTCCGGCTATGCAGCTGATTGCAGAGGGGGGCTGTCAGTGAAACGAAGCTAATATTATCCTGTTATCAAGCAATCCAAGGTTGCTTCCCTTTTCCATCCTTCCAACAGGTCTTCTTAGCTCCCACATTTCTTCCTGCCTGGACTAGATGGTAGTCTTCTCTGAGTTACTCTGGTTAACAGATTGAAGCGGAATCCAGACAAGTCTGTAGGATTTTGGCTGTGGTTTGTTCTTTTAATATAATTCCTGAATTCTTCGTTACCAAACTAGGTAACATCATAAGCAAGATTTTCTTGTCCTATTCTCCTTAGCTCATAAGCGTCTTGTGTGCCAGTGTGGTCAGTTGTTTGATGCTAAATTTGAATTCCGAGCAGCTGATTGGTTCTCTTGCTGATTGGCACTTCGAATGGTCTGGTTTCTTACATATTAATATGTTGGATCTAAATCAATATGTTTGTTAACTGCTCCTTTGATGGAAAATCAGGTCTCAATAATTTTACGCCTATAAAACTTGTAGCTTGGGTTTTAGATTTTGGCTGTGGTTTGTTATCCAAGCTTGTTGAGAATAGGACAAGAAAATCCTGCTGATGATGTTACCTAGTTTGGTAACGAAACGTTCAAGAATTCTATTAAAACAAGCTTGGAGAACAAACCACAGCCAAAATCTAAAACCCAGGCTACAAATATTTCCTATTCTTTCAAAATCTGTAGGAGTTGGGGAGTCAGTTTGAGGGAAACTTGTTTTTTATCTCGGGGGACAGGATTTTTTGTGACATCCAAGAAACGTGTAAAAGAAACGCATATATGCGTATGTCTATTTAAATATAAATAAAGTTGATAACAGAAAAGTTCCTGACCAAATTGAACCCCAAGTATGTGCTGGACAGGTTCGTTTCTCATGTTTAGCTGTGTTTAATCATGGATTGTTGTTCATCCATCGATTTCGATGAAGACCTTGACATCTTGTGGATTGTGGGCCATCAACGGTGTGTCCGTAGATGGCTGATTAGACCGATGTTAGCACGGAATGTTCTGCCACATACTGAACAGAGAAATGTGGACACTGTTGCTTCAGCATTTGCAGCTCTGGCTTTACGGAGTGCTCGCTTCTCTTGTGCCAAG